TTTCTGTTTTTTTTTTTTTTGAGATAGATTTTTGTTTTTCAGATATGCATGCTATGATTAATATATCTAGCTTATATATATATATATATATTTATACGCTTCTCCATTTTCTGGGTTTATGAATATCTGATTGTTTTCCTCGCTTACTATTAGATTTTCTAAAAAAAAAAAAAATTATATCTTGGTTGGGATATATTATAATTTTTAAATTATATTTATACGCTTCCCATAAGGATTTTTTAATCTAATTTTTTTAGGCGGTTTAATTTGTACCTTGGACTCTCTAAACCGCTTAATAAGCTGTCTAAAAATATATATATATATATAATTTTTAAAATTTTATAATATTTGTATATTTATTTTAATTTTTATTAGTCATAATAAAGATTTACTTATAAAATACACCTTATCACATTTTTGTTGGTTTATATAAAAATTTTAAATGATGAACTGTAAAACATTTGTTATTTTTAAGTTATATTGTAAACTTGAATTTGAAATTTATTTTTATTTTTATTGAGTAACGATTTTATAATTGTTATGAATTATTGAAAACTTTTTTAGTCTTAAACTTAAACCGTCCAAATTATTTATGAGTGATTTAGTTCAATTTGATTTTTGTCAAAAATATCAAATTGTTTAAAGGAAAATTTTATTTTTAATTTAGTTGGTGGTTTAAAAAAAATCGTTTAAACCCATCGCGAACACTCCTAAAATGAGCAGGAATAAAAAAACAGTAAATAGATACATAAAAACATGATAAATAAATTGAAAATCGATATGAATTGGGTTGTGGAAGTTTGACAAAGTAAAATTGTTTTGATGTTGTATTCTATTTTCATCTTTTTTTTTTCTTTTTTTTTTAAAACCGTGTTTCTTTATTTATTTATTTATTTTTTGTATTCAGTGTAATATATTTTGTCATTTTCTATTAAAAAGTCATTAATGTCCATCAAGGAGGTTACTTTGTCGTCCAAATAGTCTAAATCAAACTTTATAATTCTATGGTAGTATCTACAAAAAGAACATGCAATTGTGTTTTTGAGTTCTAGTTGGATTTGCGTGTTAAATTCTGAAATTGCTGAAAGCCTAAAGCAACTTGTATTATGACATTTTGTAATCATTTTTCAATTTGCAATAATTTCCTTGTCCTCATCTTCGAAACTTATATAGAATAAAAAACCGGCATATTCATTCTTTACAATATTCTTAGTTTAATTAAAGATTAGATGTTAAATCATCATACTCCTGGGGCCATATTGAACTTAAACCTCTCGTCATTTCTGAAAGAGACAGAAATTTGCTCACGTTACATTGTAATTTCCAATTGTCTTGTTAAGCTTGTTTTATCTTCCGATGGACTGGTTCACTAATCTATTGTTTAACTCAAGTGATGTAATTTGTCCCAATTATTTGGGACCTATATTAATTGTTTATACACTCTTTTAAGTTATCCTGTTCTGTGCTTGATTGGTTGGCCTTTTTGATATGATCACTTATTTATTATTTTTTTAATGGATTAGGGTGTGAACCAAGGATTGAAGAACAGGGCTCCTATTTTTGGAACTGCATTATTGAACCTAGCAGACTATGCTTCTGTTACTGGGGGAAAGGAGTTTGCTCTAAAAATTCCTATTAATGTCAATGGTTGCACCTCAGATTCTTGTCCCTCGCTCATCGTAAGCGCCTTTTTCGTTTAAGCAACTATTTATCTCGACTAATTTGTAAACAATCTCCAATTACAGGTCAACTCTGTACCCCATGAAATATTATGTAGGGACCAACATAGTTTGGAATGATCATCACCAATATTGAAATTTAGCATTTTTACCCTTTTTTCTTCGCATTTCTTTCTCTTTTCCTTTTCCCCGTCTTGCTTCGAGATTTGGATACTGATCCAATCTTTCTCCAAAAACATTTCAGATATCTCTCAGACTATTGGAAGTGAGAACTGCTCAAGATGTTTTGGGGACAGTCCAGGGATCGACATCACCTCTTCCGCTGTCACCGCGCTCTTTGGAAGCTCCCTCAACACCTAAATATGAGTTATCTGCTTTTAAGGCAGGTTTGAGAAAGGTGAAAACATTTACAGATTTTGTGTCAGCTCGAAAAGCAAAAAAGACACGCCATGAAGAAGATGGAAGTGATGGTAGGAGTTCTATTAGAAGTGAGGATGCTCCGTGCCATTATCCATTTGACACAGATTCGCTTGATGACGATGCTGGGGCAGAGTCCGACGGAAGCAAGGATGGTTTTGGTGCTAGGCGCTCAGTTAGTTACGAAACATTAGCGCTCGCAAACTGTGCTCAAGGATCATTTTACTCGAACACCAATGTTAACGGTGAAGATGAGTGTTTGATCTATTATAGTAACCGTAAGTCTGATGTACGTTGCTCGCATATAGAAGATTCTAGTTCAACACTCTCTGAAGAGATCTCGCAGCGCAGTTTAAAGCGCACTATCCTACCATGGAAGAAGAGGAAAATTAACTTCAGCAAATCTCCTAAAGGCAAAGGGGAGCCTCTTCTGAAAAAGCATTATGGAGAAGAGGGTGGGGACGATATTGATTTTGATCGTAGGCAGCTTAGTTCCACCGATGAATCCAGTTTGAGGGTGCGTGTTCATTCTGTTGATAATCTTTTCTCTTCATAATTGGTATCCCGTGTTTAATGTTTGATTTTCACCATGAAATAATACTATGTTCTTAATATGTGTAATCCCAATTTTCTGGCAGTGGCGAGATGGTTCCACGACTAATCGATCATCACTTTCTGAATTCGGGGATGACAATTTTGCTGTGGGCAGTTGGGAGAGCAAGGAAGTAATGAGCCGGGATGGGCTTATGAAGCTCCAGACACAGGTATTTTTTGCATCAATTGATCAAAGAAGTGAGCGTGCTGCCGGAGAGAGTGCATGTACAGCCCTGGTTGCTGTCATTGCTGATTGGTTGCAATCCAACCAAGATGAGATGCCCATCAAGTCTGAATTTGATGGCTTGATCCGAGATGGATCGTCAGAGTGGAGAAATATCTGTGAGAACAAGGACTGCATAGAGCGGT